ATATATATATATATATAAATAATTATATACGTGGACGTGTTATTTTTTTAATAGATAGAGGAACGATTTGCCTGAATTTTTGTAGCTCGATTAGCGCGGCAAACGTGGCCATTACGCGGTGTGTCGCGCGGATGAAGTATATTTTTGGAGGACGAGGGTGGAAAGGGCGAAGATTCCGGGATTCTACTACTGTTCTCTCACGCCGGCTCTGTTTTGCTACGCGATTCGTCCTCTGCTTGCGCGACGACGAGGGAACACCGACGTGGACGCCGCAAATTAAATTATTTCCGTCGCCGCGAAACGACCCGAGCAAGATAACAGCGATTCACCACCGTCATCTTTTGTGTTTCGAAAGACTTTTACCTTGCGAAAGAATCCGAATTTGGGACAAACCGAGTGACGTTGCGAATTCTCGTATTGCTTAATGAATTGTTCCATACAGAGAAGTGAGTTTATTGAAAGGCAGTACAGCACGAAACTTTCATTCAATCTCGGTGTGCTTTCTCCTTAGAATAAGCGTTTCTATATCAAATGATTAACGCTAATATTGAGTACAATATTTTTAATACTAATGTATTAAATAATATTATGTATACTCCAAACTAAAAATTTGGAAATACTTTTTAAAAATTGGAATATTTTGAGGATTACTTATTCATATTCGTCATTATAACAATGTCTTTTTAACAATAATTTTTTAAATCCAATAACTGATATTAAATCTAAAGAATTATTGTTAAAAAGTTTTTATTGTTAAAAAGTATTATGAATTTTTCAGTAAGTAAAACATTAATTAAATATATTTTTAAAAAATCAATTTTTTTAAAAGTTTCCAAACTTTTGACCTAGAATATATGTACTATTATAATATATTATTATGATTTTTTTTACACAGAAAATTTATTTTATCTTGATTTAAAACATTAAAATTATATAAAATAAATTTCCTGTAGGAAATCACAATAATATTTATAAAGCAATAAGATACAATTTGCAAACAATTGGAATGTACTTGTCAACAAACAATGCAATTAACTTCATTAATAGTATAATTATATATTTCCAATTGTTTGCGAATTATATCTTATCGTCTTACAACTATATTAATTATTTATGCACTAAAATTAAAAGCTGATTTAGATAATTTACTTACATTTGCTTATTTTTGGAGCCACAAAACTACTTCTATTTTAAGTAAAGATTATATTATTTGGACATTCGATTTTTTAATGTATTATATATTTATAATGTATCTTTGTTGCAGGATCACAATGGCTACCGCACAATTGAACAGAGCCAGAACCGTAAAGAAGCTTGAAAAACCACGGCCGCTTAAGCTTAACCAGCGCAACTCGACCGTCGATGGGCGGATCACGACTGGTAAATCTTATCATGTTTATTCTCCCCTGAGCTAACTTTCGTAATCTCTTGTATAAGGTGATACCTTGGGTAATGCTGACATTGGCGAGTTAGTTGGTTAGTTACTTCCAAGTCTTATAACTCGGAGAGTATACTCAATGAAAAAATATTTTGTAATGTTTTGAAGAGCTCTCAAGATAAGATACAAAAATATGCAATAAAAAATTAAGGTTTCTATTTTAAAAAATTGATACAAACCATAAAACTTTTGTTTAAAACATTTTTCCGTATCTATCATAATTTTCCAAAAATCTTAATGTATTATTTAAAATGAGGCATTCTGTATGGAGGTGTAATCATTTTCTTGTAAAGCATCTTGATAAGCATTTATTCTTTCTTGTATTAGATGGTGACTCTCTTTGTGAACTCTTTGCTTCTTCTGACTTTTCAGTAGAGGATATAGTGTCCTTAATCGACAATGTTGCAATGCAACTGACCAATGGCTTCCATGACCGAACGCTGCAAATAAATGTAATCTCTATGTGTAGTCATCTGAAACTCTATGCCAACCAATTAGAAGCTATTTACAAAGGTAAAGAATCCTTTGGGCTCAAAACGTATTTTTCAAAGCTAGTAGTATACGTAAATAAATACTTTCTTGTTGTTTTAGGATAGATTTTTCATGGTAGATTGCAATTTGATGATTTAATTCTACGTGCGTTTAAATAAAATTTTGCAAGTAATTATTTTTTTATTCTAGATCAGCTGGACCGGGCCTTTGTGGCGATCAGAAATGGGAGCCAGGACGACAGATTAGATCTGACGACCAGGGTTCATCTGCTGGAACTCATAGAGCTGCGAGCGAAACAATGGCGTCACACCGATTCTATGGACGTGTACTACATGCAGAAGTTGTCGCATTTAGACAATGTTGGTAAAACTCGTTTTATTCATAGCATTTTTATACTCGTGTAACTTTTCAAAATTATAATCGAGATATAAAAGCGAAAATAAGAGTAGTGATGAAAATAAAGCGCGTCTCAATATATTACTAATTTGCTACAATAATGACGTAATTCAAAAATTTTCATTTTTTTTTTAATTCATTGTAAAAAACGGAAACAAAGAGAAAAAAGAAAAACATTAATAATTTTTTTCCTCTATAATCAGTTTCAAAATTGCATTTTAAAATCATACAGTATTATAAAATTTTAATGAATCAAAATATTCAAATTTATTTCCTGGATTTTGAATCTATATCAAAATATTTATAAAAAAAATTTGTATTAATTTTTTTTTATTTAGTATTAGATTAAATAATTTTGTTTCTTATTCTAGCAGATCGATTCGGTACCCGATACACCTACGAACTCTCTGTCGTCCCCATTGTTAACTTCACCCACCTCAGCACCGATTCTGGGACCTGGGGAAGTGATTAAGAATAGCGGAAAGTTTGCGAAGCCTACACGCATACCGGGGAAAAATTATTGCAAAGATGAGGTCGTCATTCGCAACAGTGATTCGGGCAAAGGTAATTTCATTGTACTTTTATTCTTGTTATATAAAATCTGTTGAATTAAATAGGTATATTTGATTTTTACACGGATTAAAATGCAGTCTGTACAATTTGTCTTTGACAATCTTTTCGTTATATTACTTTATAAATTGTTTCCAATATTTTTAGTATGTCGCGATGTGATTAGTAGGGATTTGTATGTGAGATATGGAAACAATGATATCTCATTTTTATGTAAAGTGAAATTTGGTTATATCGGACTTTTTTAATGATTTTCCAATTATGTTGGCCATTCTGTTGTTAAATAATTTACACGAAAATACAGTGATGGGAATAAAAGGGCGGCGGGTTCACATGATAGAAGAGCTCAGCCAGACGATCATCTCCTTCCAGCGAGGTAAAGCAATGAATGATCCGCCATGGCTTGTTATAGCATTTTGTGCTCATGCATCGCAAAAATAGTATTAATTGGTCGAACGAGGCTCTTTCTTATGCCACACAAAAACACCTCTCTAATCTTCTCTCACACCACTGAGCATTGAAGTTTGACGTGGCAAACTTATATTCGCTATTGTTTTTAAAATCTCATTTACATATATAAAAAAAATAAATCTATAATAAAAAGTCGCAGCCAATATTTTTTCATCAAGTCACTTTTTGCATGACAAAGCTGTTTTATCTAACCATGATCAGGCTATTGAGTTAGTATTTTAGTTTTTGCAACGTGATCTACTAATCGAGAAGTGCAGGGCACGTCAGCTTTCTTTCACGTGATGACGGAGAAGTGTTATATTTTGCAATAAACATTAAACTTATTTTTTTCTTGTTTTCCTTTCTCTCTTTTTTTCTGTTCTGTTAAAATCGTATAAATGGGACGAAATATTATATTTTTTTCTCTAATACATAATATATACAATTTATATCAATTTGTGGAATGTGTATCTTTAACAGTCTGACGAGTGAAACACATGAATATTGTGCTCGCAGTTTTAAGGATGTATTACACGTATTTTTTAATAAATTATTATGAAAAAAAATTTCAGATTTTTCTATATTGTATTTGAAAGTAATAAGTTGGATGGCGATTTAAAATCTGGATTTCAAATTATTTCAATGAGAAATGAACAATTAAGATAAAATGAAATTTTTATCTAAACTATAAAATTTTATTGTTAAATATTGATCTTATTGCACTGTTTTATATATTTATATGTACATAACATTCATTTTTATATGTAAATTAAACTTTCAATTCTAGTCACTTTTCGCAGAGACTATACACCTCTATACATACATCCTTAAGAGCCGAGTAGAAAGATATTATATTACCAATTTATTAACGCCAGATCAACAGATGGATTGTATATTGTGAGTCCCACATGGACGGGGAAGGTTGGCATTCAATTAATACTTTTATCGCCTAACTTAAACGCGTAAAACGATTTTTTGATCTGATGTTTAAATGTTACTTTATATACGTTCAAATATTGTTTTAAATACGTTGTATATCGTACTTACTTCGCTTTGGCGATATCTTAACAGAATTTAATATCACATGTTTAACATATTAACTGTGTCATTGGACTTGTGTAAAAGATGTTAACGATAACTACCACATAAATCTTTTTCTTAAATGGATATCAATATTGATAAGATTACGCCGCTGATACATTGTATCTTGGTTTGTAGTAAACCCTGGAGCTAAAGAACGACTTGTCCAAATCACGGGAACATCCGAGGACAAGATTCAGTATGTTTAAATACTATATTTGTAATAAAGTAGAAGTTTACTGAGTTAAATAATAAATGTATTTATATCTAGATCTACTTAATTAATAGCATGTTTAACGAATCACATAACAGCTTTTAATATCACTCTCTTTTTCTCAGTTATGCGAAGGACTTAATCAAAGATACGATACAACGAAATGCATCGCCAGTGAGACTGGAGCAGAGCACCGGCGAGAAAGGAGCTATGGGAGGTTCTAGTTCTTCACTCAACAGTAGCGCGTCGGATGAAAGCAACCGATTGCAACAACAGAATCAACAGCACAACTCTCGTTTACGTTCGTCCCTTCTGCACAGTCTCTCCACCAACGACGCCAGCATAGGCGAATACAAATACACAGTCACCGTCGGCAACCAGTCCCTCAAAATTACGGGCTGCAATCTCGATCTCGTCAGGGTAATGACAAAATCGCCCATGTCGTTATGTTATTTAGCTAATTTTATTAAACTGAATGGGAAATCGATTGATTAAATTTCAATATCTAACTAATAAGGGAAAGGATTCCTCTGATTTTGATGAACTTCTAATATGTTGTTGTATAGATGAAAATAAAGGATACATTAGGTATAGTAAAAAAAAATCTATTATTTTTCCATTCAATTTCATGCAAAATAATGGATTTTTTTTTACTACGCCTAATATTTGTTTTATACAACCGATTTATACAATTGATTTTTTTTTTTTTTCGAAGCAAATATCGTAAAAAAAATATTTGAAATAAATGTTAAATTTTAAAAGTATTTAATAATTATAATTAAAAGATTTTTTTAATATTTACTTTGTATAAATAAAATTTTTTTATTTAAACAAAATTTTTTGAATTATTATTTTAAAATAATCTTAAAAGCCATTCAACGTTATTTATTTTAATTTTTGCTATCTCATTTTTTAATGTTCACTCTGAAAAAAACATTAGTTTTTTTCTAAGAGGTATTTTACTTTTAAAAGTGCATATGACATACATGAAAAATACATGTTCTTTATTTTTGTCTATAAAACAACATTAAAAATTCATTAAAATTGGGAGGGACACTTGGGTCTTTTGTCTTGTGAATTTAGATATGGATGAATTAAATTAATGATTTCTGGATATTAAAAAGATTATAATATTTTTTTTCTTATGATGATTTTCTAAAAATTATCTTAAACTTCCTTGATGAAAGAAGTTCTTGTAATATTTTT